ACTATTGGGCTGTTGTTGATTTTTTCAGCACTTTCTTGCCTTATTTTTTCCATCCTGTCTGTTGATCTCCAGCAATGAAGATTTTATGCATGCCTACGTGTCGCAAAATAAAGCAAGGTTCATTGGACGTGGACTTTGAATTTATCTAAGATTGCCAGGATTTCTCGCTGGCAATTAAGGTCTTGGTTTTTCCGGATCAGGATTGTGGAAAACAGTTTTGTTGGTGGTGGCTTAGTCTTGAAACTACAGTTCTGTGGTGTCGCAAAAATAATACGAGACGCGTTGTGCGTGTTTGCGTGTACGTGCGCGCGTGTGTGCGTGCGTATGTGTGTAACAAATGCTGTTCTGCAATGGTTCGGTGATGGCAGTCCACTGCAGTGATTCCATGTGTTTGCAGGCATACTCCCTTATGTTCATAATATGATTCAAAAAGAAAACGGAAGTTTACGACGAACCGCAAAAAAAAACAAAGCAAACCAAATCTCAGTATCTAAAAATTAAACTGAAGCTCACAGACAGGGTGATCAGTAATGAGGAAATTAGACTGCAGTCCGTGACTTCTGTAAGTGTTAGCAGACTTTGGAGATAAACCGTTGAGTAATACCTGTTGATCGAATACCTTCTGTTAAGAAAAGCTCGAAATCTTCCACATTGCAAATTTCACGGTATTCAAAATACGTATTGTAGACAGGAATATCGTTCGATTCCCATTTTGCAATATTTTATTCTGGTACTGTACAATCTTTACTTCGGAACTCAAGAAAAGTAGTATGTAAGAACAGTGGCTGATTAATGAGGTCCCACACATATGATTTATAGCTAACCTCAGAACAAAAAAAGTACTGCTGTACTTAGCGCGCTCCCAAACTTATTGCGCTGGAACAAAAGTATAAGCTCAGTTAACAATCTCTCGGGGCTACCCACGCACTTCTCCTGGTTGTACCAAGATATAAGCTCAGTTTTTGGGCACAAAATCCGTCCTGCGCTTCATTGGGACTGAGTGGCGGAGGCGAGTTTTGTCCTCAGACCTCACAGTCTTTCCTCCCCAGCCCTCTCATTTTTTTTACCCCTCCCCTTCTCCTCTCTATAGGTCAGGCTTATGGGAAAGAGGGTGCTAGGGGGTTAGACTACGGTTTAGGTGTAAGTGCATGGATACAGGGGGATGTAGTTTTGGGTATTGGTGATTATTATTGAAATAGTTTATAGATTTTGGTAAGAGTAATTGAGTAGGCTCCTAGGCTATAGGGATGTTAAGGAATTGTTGTTGTAGATTATTGTGTATATATATGTAGGTGTCGTGGATATTGCATATAATTTTGTTCGAGTTGTCGCTGTTTTATTGTATTGGTTACTACATCGGTTTAATAAACCACATTTGATGTGAATTATATTGTGTCTTGTGTAACACGCAAAAAACAACAGTTTTTCTCTGAACACACACATGTGGACTGATCGCCTCCGAAGCTCCCGAAAGACCGGTCGTCGCCAGGCGCTCAACAGCTGTCCGCCCATTTCGGGACTGCGTAACGCTGTTGTACTAGTTAGAACATTTACTCTGTGTTGTAGTCATGGCCTGTACGGACGGTGTTCACATTTCATTCACTCTTTCGAGGACTGCTTTGAAGGCTTAAATTCTTTTAGTCTATTGATCTCTTCAGTGCCAGCTAAATTTCAAGCCGGTATTCAATTTAGGATTGGAGCGTGGGAGTGGCGTCAAGTTCCTACCGCACGGCTTAGCAGAATGCTGTGCCTGAACTAAGTAACTACAAATGATAACGGATGCGATGGGATTCTAGAGAGCATGGACAGTACTTCTTGTTTTGTCAGTTCGGAGTAGAGCACCTCATGAGATCTTGAAGTTCCGTTAGTGGTCGCATAAGGGATCATACTGATGTGCGTCCAGTTGCTGTTTGAGACAGTTGGGGAACAAAGTATGGATCAAGGTGGACATACTATATTCTAGAGATTTCCTGAGAAAGACTACAGTTGTTGTGCCGATCTCAATCGAAGTAGCTGGTGTTTCTGGAGAAATGAGCAGTGCAACACTTCCATCTCGGTCAAATTGGTCATCATCGCATGTCAGTGAGTGACAGCTCTGGAAATAAATTGAGCAGTAGCATCTAGTGAATATGCCGAATGTCGGCTTGCGGCAAATCGTTCAGGATCGGAATGCCTCTGGTTGTTTCATTTGGTCTGTGGTTGCATCTTAGTAACAAGTAAGTCCAGCTGTTCCTATGTGGGGTTGAAGAAAAGGCCTGCCCGAAATCGTCATGAGAAATGCCACTCCTTCGGCATTATCTATTAAAAAATAAGCACATGAAATAGAAATAAATGGTAACGCGCACCAGACTAGCCGGTGCGATCATGCGTTTTGTGCAATTCAGCCC